CCCTTATGCATCCAGGCCATCCTTTGCTCGCTTCATCCAGCTGTTTTGAAAAATACACCACTGCCCTCTTATAGGGTCCTAATTTTTGAGTAAGGACCACCAAAGCTATTCCCTGTTCTTCATGGGAATACAGCCAAAAGGATTTAGTCATATCCAGAAGTCAGAGCTGCAGCTCTCATTAGCTCTGGTTTTTAATTTCTAAAGCCCTCCTCTGCTGAATCAGTCCATTCCAAAGAGAGAGGGGTTTCTTTTAACAGTTCAGATAGGGGTCTTACCAGAACACCATAATCATGCATCCAAAGTCTGCATCATCCAGTCATTCCCAGGAACGTCTGGAGCTCCTTGACGGTCAATGGTCTTGGAGTCTGGCAAATGGCTTCTTTTCTAGCAGTTCCAAGTTCTCTCTGTCCTCCTGTTGTTTCATATCCTAGATAGGAAACTCGAGGTCGGATTAGTTGAGCCGTGTTTGGATACCCGATAACCATTCAGTCCCTAAAAATCTAATAATTCCATTGTCCACTGGATACATTCTTCCTTTGTTTCTGTAGCAATTAACAGATCATCCACATATTGTAACAGAGTCCCCGTCTGAGTAGGTGGCTTCCATGTTCTAGTTCTCATGCTAGCCGATTTCCAAAAATTGCTGGACTGTTTTTAAACCCTTTAGATAATACTGTCCAAGTTAATTGAGTTTCCCTTCCTGTATCAGGATTTTCCATTCAAAAGCAAATAAATTTTGGCTTTCTTTGGCTAATGGTAAGCAAAAGAAAGCATCCTTTAAATCCAGAACGGCAAACCATTTCTGATTAATATTCAATTTAGTTAGTAAGTCATCGAATTAGCTACTACTGGATGAATATCCTACAATTTTGTTGATTGCCCTGAGACCATGAACCAGTCTGCAACTTTTCCCATCATATTTCTTTACTGTCCAGATAGGAGTATTATATTCCAATTCACATTCAATTAATAATCTATATTATTAAATTTACCAATGACTTTTTTTATTCCCTTTGATCTTCTAATTCTAAGGGATATTGTTTTATTCTAATTGGGCAGGCCCCCCTTTTTATTTCTACTTTAACAGGCAAAGCATTTTTCACCTTACCTGGAACTTCAGCAAGGCTTTCTTCTGTTTCAGGGAGGTCCTCCTGTTTGCTTTTTCTGTTAAACTCAAAACTGCAATTAATTGATTTTTAACTCTTAATTCCATCTTGCCTTCTTTAAATGTTGCTTCTTGCCGTAATGAAGATTTCAGAGAATTTAGCATGCATAAAAATTTTATGCATTCCTATTTGTTATCCCAGTTTGTACTTCAAGGGTTGCGTCGTTTTGCACTTTTTTCTTTCGGGGTTTTTTCCTTTTTTTTTTTTTTTTTTCTTTTTCCTTGGAGGCCAGAGCTCCCACATCTGTAACAAATGCTTTTCCCTCTGATTTAACGCCGAATAAGTTGCTCCTGTATTCACTAAAATTCCACTTTATTTCCTCTAGTCCATAGTTTTAATTTAACCAGTGGATCTGCTAGGGTAGATTCCCCAGGTCACTTGTCAGTCTAGTTCCAATTCAGCAACCGGAGCCCCCCCATGGCACTCCCTCCCCCGCAGGGCAGTCTCACTTCCAACGTTAAAAACTCACTCCCCACAGCACAAGACACACTGATCCGGTCCCATAGAAGAACCCACTTGTTTGCCTGCCCCAGCACTCATCCCGTGCTCAAACACAGAAGCTGCGCCAGCTCCCCTCCTTTCGACTTGGTTTCCCCCTTTTTTTTCCTCACAGTTGCTCACCCTGCTCTACAGAGGTTTCAGATGCCTGCCTCTGCAACAGCGCTTCTGGTTTAATGTGAATGCGCTGCTTGTTGCAGGTGACAGCAATCTCCTCCTCCTTATCAGTATCTGATAGGACAGATATAGAGGGTGCTCCTCTCGGAGGTATCTGTGATATATATAATTTTCCTATTTATAACTTTTAAACATCATTCCCCCAATATCCCAGGCCTAACAACATCTCTCCAGCTTAGCTTCCAGTTTTTTCCTGTCCTTTTCCAAAGCCAAAATTAGGGATCTGGCAGAGCTGTATTAATTTCACATTCTGCCTGCCACTCCGGGTGGTTTCTTAAAGTGAAAAACATATCTGTATATAGTACTTAATCCCATCTTCCTGGCCACCTCAAAAACAACATTCATTGTAACAATGTATTATAATTCAGAGTTCCATTTTCAGGCCATTTCTCCTGATCTTCCAAAGTATATAAAGGCCACCATTGGTTACAGTATTTTATCAATGTTTTCTTGTTTACCGAGCCCCCAGAAGACCCTCCCTCCCAGTTCTTTCCAGTGTGCCAAAATGTAACCAAATGGGTTTTTCTTCAGAATCCCCTTGTTTTGACCGGCTCCCATTTCAAACAATCTTTTACAAATCTCTACTGCTTCTCTTTCCCAGTGCTCTGCAAATGCGCTTAAAAAATACGAGAGCACCTACACACGGATTTTATGATATTCTCAGGGGGTTCAGTAAAATAGTATCTCTGGGTTCTGCAGATCAACTCCCCTGTTGTTAGATCATAGTTTCGGTTCCATCAAAATTCACACTGTCCTAGTATCCACGGCAGGTTCCACTGTTCAAAAGTGGAGTATGTGAGGCTACAAGCCTCTGGTACTGAGTGTAAAGTTCAGGTCTCAAGAGTAGGATTACAGATATTAGGTTATACTTCTGTTACACAGCCACTGGGGCGCAGAGGGAACTCTTCTTAACCCCCCAATAGCAACAGTTTACTTTTGTCTACTCCTCCCCCACCGCTTAAGCACTGTACTCTTTTAACACTAACGACAGACATATTCGCACACAAAACACTTAGACACAACACAAAACAAAGACGCTTCGTCCGCCTCCGGCTCTCCTCGCGGAGAACACGAAACCGCGGATCCGGACTCCACACTCGCTTCGTAGCTACGCTACGTCTCAGTGACACAAACACAAACCACTTGCATTCGAGATCCCCCACACTTAACACCGGTTCACCAGATGCCGCTCGCACCCTCCAGTGAAACCTGGAGCTCGATTCAGCCGCTCTATCGGCGGGCTCCCTTAGGCCGGAGCTCCTTTAGGATTCGTCCAATACAAACTGCTGCTCTATCACCCGACTCACCCGACCTACCTCCAGGGTCGCTAGCGGCCGCTCTATCGGTCGGTGAGTCCCCCGCTTGCAAGCCCTACCTTCCAGGGGAACTTCGCTGTGCGCCAGACGTCTCTGCGCGCCTTACCAGCAGCCCCTGCCACGCGTACGCCTTACAGGCCTCTTACAAGTCCTAGGACAATTACAAACAAATTCCAAGCATACCGTTTCTCCGCAGCCGGCACAAGTTGTTGTCTGTCACCGCAGTGAGCGGACGAGGAGTGGAGCCCCTCCAGGCAAGCGGCCTGTGGCGCCTAGGAGGTCCGCCCCTCCGCCGATCCTGCAGCCGAAGAGAGGTCTCCTGGCTGGCTCCCCAAATTGATAGCAGAATAGACTCCACAACTTCGTTGAAGTTGTAAAGTAGGTATGCTTTATTCAGCTGAAGGCGCACGGGGGATTGGTCCTCCTAAAGGCATGCGCACCTCAGTGCCGTTTTCATTCTACGTTTATCCTGTAAAGTCATACATATGTATTAGGTTGCACAATACGCCTATACATTTATATTCTATCTCTGCTTCGTATTATGAGCGAAAAGGCTCTCCACTCAAGCGCAGTGCCTCCTGGTGGTCTTGGGCAGGGGTCTTCACATGAAGTAAATAGGCTTCCTCTTGTGAGTAGGGGTCTTCAAGATGAAGTAAACGAGTCTTCCTCAGGCTTGAACTTTTTACCTCTGGTCCTCACACATGCTCTTTAGAAGCTGGATGGGTCTGGTCTACGTCCAACTGATTTAATGATCTATTCTCTTCATCAGGAGGTTCTGTCCTGGTACTGCCTGATAAGGCATTTGCTGAGCTTGTCAAACAAGCTATAACTTAAGCAGTACCCCCTTGTACAACTCCCCTGTACGTTTTATCTAACCCCCTTGTACAAACCCCCTGTACGCAATAGGCCACATCAGTTTCAGGGTCTACTTATAATGAAAGGTCATTCCAGACAGGGAAGTATCCAGGGCTACATCATACACAATAAAATATACTTAGTTGGAAAGAACACTGTGAACACCACAAATTCCAGGGTACAGTTACAGCTAGGAGCAACTGCCCTATGTCTAGTCACACACCTTTTGTGTAACCGTACAACGATCACAGAATAGATTCATTAGGGTTGGATCATCTTGTTCCAACCCCTCTTCCATGGGCAGGCAAAGCTTCACACTAGCCCATGCTGCTCAAGACTCCGTCCAGCCTGGCCTTGAAACTGCCAGGGATAGGGCATTTATCACTTCTATTGGCAAACTCTTCCAGTGCCTCACCACTCTCACAGTAAAGAGCTGTAAAGAAACGATGTTGCCATAACCTTTCTTCTATGGCCTGTCAGTATCTAGCATCAATTTTGATGACTATTTAAATCATCGGGAACACCACACTTCAGCTCTTCTGAGCAATTTCAGGGAACTAGAGCTGGCTGTATGTGGTTGCTCCTTCTTCGCTTCGTTTACAGAAGGGATTCACTACCTGCTCGCTTAAACGTGGATCTCGTTCCTTGCAGGGATGTTTCCGGCCGCCCCCCTAAGCTTCACATCAGTCCCAGCAGTGATACGGCCCGCAGGAGGCCGCGGGGAGAGGCCGCTCCTGTCCCTCCCCTGTGCCAGGGTTCCTCAGGAACAAAAAGGGCTCGCTCCGGCCAGGCGGCACCCCCACCACCATTTCGTGGAGCGGCTGCGAGGGCCGGCAGAACATGGCTACCTGCTGCTCCCCGCCACCTCCCCGCTGCGGAAAGGAACTTCCCGCCAGCGAAAGGCGACGGCGGCGTCAGAGGGCGCGGTGCCACCGCCCAGCGCTCCCGTAGGTGGGCGGTCGAACAGCGCCAAAGGCGGAGCGTGTTGCCCTGCCTCAGTGCAGCCGGGGCGGTGGCGGCTAAAGAGCTGGAGGCTTCACCATGATCGCGGGGATTAGGGAGCGGTTCCACCGATTCCTGCACGAGAAGAACCGCATGACCGCCGTGCTCGAGCATATCGAGAGCAAGACCGGTGTCAACCGCGCCTATATTGCCATCGGTGAGCTCCCGCCGCTCCACCCCCAGGCCTCGCGGGTCTCCTCAACGCTTGAGGTCTGAGGTCGCCGCGTATGGGGTGACCGGAGCGGCCGATGGCAGTGGCTACGGCCTTCCCGGCCCTCCCCCCCCCGGCGCCGTGGAGCAAGTAGCCAGCTGCCAGCGTTAATGGTTGTCTGCTCTCTCTTCTCCCGCGCAGCCATCGTCGGGGCGGTGGCCGTGTACCTGGTGGTGGGCTACGGCGCCTCCCTGCTCTGCAACATCATCGGTTTCGTCTATCCCGCCTACGTGTCGTGAGTGTCGCAACTCCTGCCCCTTTCGCCGCTGTGGCGCCGGGTGTTAACTCTTGCGGGAGGGAACAAGGGTGTAAAATCACTCCCCTGCGCTGGAACGCGGTCACGGTGGACCGCGGTCAAAAATGCTTCTCCCGCCCACCCCTTTCCCTTAGAATATATAGGCGCAAGGTGCTGAGTAAAGAACGAGGCTTCTTCCATCTGGCAAGTACTGTGTAATAAATTACGAGATGGGAGACGTTGGGTAGTTTCTACACTTGAAAACCAGTTCCTGAGGTGCATTATGTTTTCGCGTTCTCAGCATTGTCACCCTAAGTAAGAAGGTGGATTGCTGTGTCGTAGCTGCTGCTAGTGTCAGGAGGGAGAATGGTTGGAATGGTAGTTGCTAAAACTCACACTGGTATTTTTAGCTTGAGGACACTTTCAGGTATGCAGGAAGGTAGTGGTGCAGTGTCAGCATATGTTTGGTACGAAGCACTGGTAACTAACGGACCAGAGACAGATGCGTTAGTGTTGTTTACTCCAAAGCCACCTCACTGATGAGAAGGTGGAAAGGAAGACACTGCAGCTGCTTTTGGGGTAAAAGACTTTAAGAATACTTAATTTTTCAAAGCCTCCTTAAGGCGTTTTTAATATTTGGTCTCTTTCAAGGGTCATTACGCTGTTGTGAGACCAAAATGAATTTCCTGTTAGGTAAAACCACAATGGAGTGTGTTCCAGAAGACTTCATAAATGTACTGAGTAAAAACCTGTGTAGCTGAACAATTTATAAAATGGAAGTCCTTCCCAGCTACACTGCCATATTGTTGAAAAACAGTGCTTGCCTTTTGCATAAATTTAGATACAGCCAGCATTTTTAAAAAAGTAACTCGCAAACTAGCTCCTGGGCAAACCAGGTTCCTCCACTTCGGTTTTTTTTTGTTGTTGTTGTTTTCTTTGTTGTTGTTTTAGGTGTTTGGTTTTTTTTTTTTCTGTAGACTTTCTTGAAATATGTTCTGGTTGTGATGCTTAAAACTCAGAAATGCTTTTATAAAATGCTGTTTCAGGTGAGTACTGATTTAGGAGATTATAGGCCAAGAACTCTGGAGAAACTTGGGCTTTTTCTGTAATTTCTGTAATGCATGTTTAGTGAAAAGATTAGTTAAAAGGTGTTTTTTCATTAAAATCTGAAAGTGAAAATCAGCCAACAAAGCTGATAGTTGTGTAGGAATTTTTGTGTGCTATTTTGTCTGACTTAGGTTACTTTTAAACTGACAATTCTTAAAATCTCGTTTAAATTTTTTAATTTGTTTTAAAACTGGTTTGGGATTATATTTTTAAATATAACAGTTGCCATTATGCAACTACAATGAAAAAATTGATAATGAAGAGAGAGAGAGAGAGCTGTGTTGCCGTAAATCTGTGTAGCCTTAAAGCACGTCCCTCTGTGTCCTCTCTGCACCCACACTGCATCTGCAGACTTGCAGGCAAAAGCAGTGCATGTTAAACACTGCAGCACTATGTACCTGCTCTGTACTTGGGAAGGAAGAAAGACCAGGAGATGAAGCCTCACAGACAGTAGTAAATCAAATATGAAGAATGGGGTTTTATCTTCCCTTTTCTTTTTTCCTTCCAAATCTGGAATTTTTTTCTCTTACTGTTTTCTAGGGTGGAAGGTGATTTTAAATGTATCTTAATGCGAAAATTTATCTCCCAGATGTTAGTATTGTGGGGTGGGATTTTTTTTTTTGTGGTTGTTTTGGTTGGTTGTTTAAGTAAGGAGTGCATATGCCATTGTCCTTAGCTACAAATTTTAATTAAATTAAAAAAAGATATTATTTACATAAACAGAACTGACACAGTAGTCATGTGTTTTTCCAGTTCATGCTCAGTTACTGCTTTTCCTTTAGCTGTTTTTTTAATGCTGAAATATTTTGAGGACAAAATTACAGTCTTGGATGAAAGTCTGATTTAAAATGCATGTGACGTGTTGCATGCCAGTGTCATTCGTTGTTTCAGCTCATGAAGCAGCCTGCTAACAGCACCGGTAGGCTTCATCCCCTCCTCTTTCTTCTTTCCCAAGTATAGAGCAGGTACATAGTATTGCAGTGTTTTCCAGCATGCATTGGTTTGCCTGCAAGCCTGCAGTGTGGGCGCAGAGAAGACACAGGAGGACATGTGCCAGTGCATATGTTTCATGGTCCAGTTCAGCTTCCCTTTTTTAGGAGTGAGGTGTGTGAACTCAGGATAAGCAGCCCTTGCCAGCCTGTGAAGTGTTAGGGAATCAGTCCGCCGTCTCCTGAGATGGCTTTCAGTCTGGGGTCAAGTATGGACTGCCTGACCATGAAAAAGAGCAAGAATCCTCTTTGGTGATTACCTTTCTTCGACCACATGGGTTTCATTTTGTTTTGGTCCTACCATGCTACTCTCTATGTCTATTGTGGGATCTCTATCCTAATGCTGGCCTAAGTTGCAAGGAGATAAAGCTGAATCACCGGAAGTGATTCCTGCTTTCATTCTTGCTGCTCAGGATTGTATACTGCAATCGGGGTGCTGCCAAGTGATGCCCCCCATGGTCGTCAACCGTCAAGAGCCAAAGCTTAAAGAACACTAGCCAGGGTGGTTTGTTTATTCCTCTCTTCTGTTTGGCCTGTCCCCCTTGAACAGATTGCTGAAGAGCCTGCTGTATGAACTAACAGTAGTGAGATTTGCTTCCTAGCATTGGGCAGAAAACAGCTTTCAGCTGTTCTCATGAGCTGCGAAGACCTTCAGACAGCTTTTACTGTAAAAGCTGTGACTTCTGGAAGAGGTCTGGAGATCTAAACAGAAATATTGTGCAGGTTGTTAGTTTGATATTTATGCAGGTGTTTTAACAGTGGATCCAAGCCTGAAATGTCTCAGGTACTGGAAAAAAAAAAAAAAAGCAGACTACTTTTCTCCAATAAGCTTACTTCTGTTGTTAGATCAGTGTATCATTTCCACATTGTCAGTGACTGAATTTAATGTGAAAAGTAAAGAAGTACTCGGTCAGGCTTCTATTTGGCAAAAAAGCCACTCATGAAGGAGTGGGACAGATGCCTGTTTTCTGCAAGAGAGATCACTTTTTCCGTCCTTACAGTTGTTTAAAATGGCAGAAAGCTACCAGATGAGTAACCCTTTAGGCGTGTTATAAATGTCTTTTATTAGGATTTTAATTCTGGGTAACCTTGGTCACAGTATTTACTGTTAATCTCAGTGCTTCCCTAAAAGAAAATATATGTGGGAAAGAAATCCAGAGAAGGATGCTCTGCTCAGATTTCAGCCTGTTTACACATACAACAAGGGCATTTTTGCAGCTGCAGAGATACATGCCTGTCCAGCCTTGCATAATTCTCCCAGGTTAATGCCTGTTACAGTTTCAGGCAGGCACAGCTACCATTTCCTTTCTCCTTCCCCCTATGTTAACCTTCAATTTTGCTTTCTGTAAGTCTTTAGTGGTTTTATGCACAGCGGGGTGTCTTCTCTATCAGTACAGAATCTTTCAAAAAACCCAAATCTTCTATGCCATGTCACCAGCAAGGGTCCCTAATGTCGGTGAAATTAAGCAGTAGTTTTCCAAGTAAACATGACCTGTCTGTTTCCCAGTAAGTCAGACAGTCTGGATTAAAGTGTGTCATAAAACGCTAGTCTTAGTCCCTAAAATTCTGATTAGTGCTAGGTGATGGAATAGACTAAATAGTTCTAAGCTGAAACCTCGTATTTGTTTGCAGGCTTTTGGATTTGCAGTAGACCCATTTTGAAAAGTTTACCACAGATAATAGAAGCAACTCTTTATACTTCTAGTGAGCTTTAACTGCACAAGGTGATACTCAGACTAGTAGATGGAGGAAGTGAGTGTTGGCAGTATATAAATAACATTGCAAATATTTTCACTGTTTCTTCAAAATGCCCAGAGCTAGCTGTTTAAATATAGCTCCACCCATAGCCAGTGGTGGTTAACTGCTTCAAAAAAAATGTAAGAGAGAGCACACAAGCAGGATGATGGGAGCCTTTGATGACTAAGAAATGTGTGCAAAGGACTGGAAAGTTCAGAAGTGCTGTCATATTGGATTTAAAAATTACAAAGATGAAAACAGCTTTGGGCAGTACAATGTCTGAACTTATTACTGGTGTCTTCAGGGTAGAAAAGCAATATAGTACAGTCATACGTCAGTTAATTTTATGCTGTTAGTTCAGTTTGGCTGAAGAGCAGCATTTACAAACAGGAAACAGTCTAGATTGATTGTAGATAAGTATAAATGCTTAATTCAAGTTTTTATTTGAATATTGTGGTGTCTTGAGCCTGTCCTGTAGTTCATTTGTCTCTTCCATACCTCTGAAACAGGAACACTGCTTTTCTTTGGTCACAGTTATTTAGAAAACGTAAGTCATGCCTGTATTTGTGGAGAGCTAGCACAGCACATCTGCTCTCTCTTAGCAAGTTTTGAGGAGAATGCTTAATTTTTCCCCTTATAGAAAATGTTGCATGATATGCTAATGTTCATAAGTAATTTTCTAAAGCTGCTGCTTCATAAAAGCAATTTGAGAGATGTAGTGTATCAAACCAGATTCATAATGCTTAATATGAATATAAGTAGAAAGTTTCCAAATCCAGCTGCAGTTACACTATTTCCTCTCTGACACTGTTTTCATGGAGCTTCAGACACTAGAAAGTATATTTTGACTTTTTGTATATGTTCTGCAAAATGAATTCCTCCAAACATACTTCTTTTCTGTCTTTCAGGTTTTTCAAGTTTCAGAGTGCCTTTTAAAAGCTCTCTTAGCTGTGGGCTGGACAAGTGATTTGCTCTCCTTTCAAGAGATAGCAAGTGGTTAGATACAAGAGAGACTCTTAATATTATGATTACTGTAGGAAAAATATATCTTCCATGTCCTAAATTTAGGTAAAAAAATTCTAATGTCTTTGTTTTACAGGTAGATCCACATTCTGAATTAAACTTCTTGAAAGGTTTGCAGTTTATAATTGATATAGATAATATTTT